ACAAGACACTGTGTACTTCTTGTGCTTGGACTTGGCTTTATGCTTTATGTTTATAGTCTCAGAGTTTAATGGCTCAAACTCTGTTGTGCCCATTATTTTATTGTCTGTGGTTGAACAGTGGGCCAATCTGTTTGAGAACCAAGAGATGCAAATTTGAAACATATGCAGAATAAAACACATGCACATATAACTGTGTTCCTTGCTGTTTATTTATAGAGAGTGGGAATCCTTATCTTTCCTCAAGTATCTACAAAGTTTACTTAAAAGGCTTAACCACTATGTTGACTAACTACTAATACTGTTTATATTTATCAGTGGAAAGTAGAGAGCTCCTTGGATTCCCCTTGCCTCAGTTTGTAGGTTAAATAATGACAGACAGGGGATCTGGAATGAGCTGAGCTATACATGTGAGAAAAATAAGGAGATTTCAAGGGCTTTTCTGCTTTTTAAAATGGCAAGCACAGGCTATTAGTTGTGAGACATCCAAGCAATTAAGCTATGTAAATGAGAGCAGAAGCTCCACCTATATAAATGAGAGCAGAATTTGGCCCCTTGTCCATCTTGTATGTTTAATACTTTCTTTGATAATTTCAGTTTAGCAAGAGAAACCCTAGAAAGAAGCTTTTCCTCTTCTGAGTATGGTGATTATATACTGAGGGCTGGAACTGCAAATTTAAAAAAAAATAGGGAAAACCTATATCTTATATCATTTTAAGTTTTTTGTGGCATATAATTGTTATAACACCTTTACAATTTTAAACAGGACTAGTTTATACTGTGACAAAAAAAAAAAAACAGATTAAGGGTACCTTGAATGTTTGGAACAGAAAAGATAAGTAATGATGAATTACCAGTGATAAGAGGTAAAGACTATCGAGCAATTTTCTTCAGACTCTCAAGTCATTATTTTTATTGTATATATTGTATTACTGAATCTTCTGTAACAGGTTAATACTATATCAGTTCTCTTTATGAAATATTAAATGAATTCAGAGTAGAATAAATTCCCAGCTTTCAATCGGTCTTATTGTCCTTGGCACATAGTGGGCAGGCATTGATTTTATGATAGCCAATCCAAGGACCAGAAGGGAACCTGAATTGGGCCATCTAATTTAAATAGAAATTAGAATTCCCATGGAGAGATTCACAAAACACAAAACTCTCTTTAAAAAAAAAAAAAAAGCAAAGCCCTCAGATGTGCCAAGAGATGCGATGTACCTTTGGTTTTGATGAAATTTGATTGGTAATTCATTCTTAAAATGAAGTGAAATGATAGAAGAAACTTATTAGTATTTCTCGGGTGGAAAGGAGCAAAGTTTCCTTTTTCTGCACCAGTCTTTCCCTTGCCTAAGTTCCTGTTTCTGGAGAGGACATTTTTATGGTATCATTTATTTGTCTGAGTTGCAAACATAACTTTTTGGGTAAATAGTAGGGGAGGTAAATATTAGAGCTTCCCTAAAGACACAATGTAAGACATTTCTATATATATTTTGTGCAGTGTTCTACTCTAGAAATAGGATTTCTCCTATGGGATTGAACATGCCTTATTTTTAGTGATACAACTCACTTTTCAGTGTTGACTTTTCTTTATTCATACTCCAATTTTATAATTTTACTTGTATGGTTTATAGAAGGCTTATCCAAAAAGAAACTCACTTAAATCTCCACATACATGGTGTCCTATCAACGTATACCCTAAAGGCTAAACTCTGCTGTCCTTAGAGTAGATCTTTAATCTGCATGTTATCTCATTACAATTCACAAAGTAAGGTACTATACAGTATGTGTACCGAAGGCAGAAATGGCTCCTAAATAAATAAGTGAAGAGGATTATTTACTCTTCTACTTTTTTCAATATTCTTTCACAGGGGCCAAATTCTGTAGTCCCCACTCAGGGGCCCTGTGTAGAAAAAATGGACAGAGGAAATCTAAGTTGAAATACCTGATGGATTGATGTATCTGAAATGTTTTTTCCCTTTAAGGGAGAGAAGTTACCAACCTTCTGGAAGATGCTGGGAGCTTGTTTCCATAATCCATAAAGAATCGCTAAATCAGTGGAGAAAATGGAGGGTATCCTTGCAGATGTGGGAGCCTTCAGGCATGTGGACTGCTCCACAATGCTGGTTTGTGGAACATTCTGTCTCCTGGCAACACATCTCCTTCAGGAGCCATGCTGCCATTGGATGGTGTCTTTCTGGCTGGGGAATGGAAACCATGGAGTAAATCTCTAAGAGTTTATGCTGCTTTTTGTGTTTTTGCTTAGCAGCCTGCAAGTTTCTGAGTAGAATAAGTTTAGCAGAAATAGGGATTGAATAAAGACTGCAAGATTTGGCCCTTAGTTATTTCTTAGTGATTGCTGTTTAGATATACTGATATTCTGTTTTATACTATGCAATTTCTCTCAATTTGTTACTCACGTTAAGACCGTGCTCTGCATTTTTTAAATAAATCAAGTTAAATCATGCTATTTCTCCAGTGCTACCTAGGTTCAGCCCTAGCTTCTCTCACACCTTTAGAATTTAACTCATACGTAATGAATTTCCCAAGACTACTGCTCTCCATTGAGATTTTTTTCTCCCTAGTCTCATTTCACACAGCTGGATAAATCCTGTGGAGCCCCAGTGATTTATTGGCTTGGAGTTGCCCCATCTTACTTATCACTTCTGCCTCACTGACCCTGAAGTAATCCAAGATAACAAGTACATGGCCAATAATAGATGGCATCGGTTAGTGTCTTTTCTGTTGTGCACTTAGTAAGAATTCTTTTTCTTGACTGGCCTCTTCCACTGTTTGTTTTAGCCTAAAATATTCTGATATTGTTCTTCATATTTCTCTTCCTGATTTATTAAACCCTTTAGCTATTTTATTATTATGTTCTTTTTTGTATGTGTGCATGAATTTATAAAGACACAGAGAGACCTTAGAAGGGTGTCATGCTGTATAAAGGTTTTATTGACATGCATTCGGACTGCATTACTCACAAGTGGTGAAACTATGAGTGAGTTCCTACAACATCATATTCTGAACATGCTACACATTTTTACAGATCACCCTCCCCCATGCTTTAGAATTCTTTAGAATTTTTGTCTTTTTTTTTTATCCTTCAATCTTTAAATACCCTATTTACCAGGAGTTCAATGGTAGAGGTCTCAGAGGGACCCATAAACTTTGAATATGACCTAAAATAGCTTTATTGTATATAAAAATATCATCAATTTAAGATGCTATTTCACTTGGCATTCCAGGGTGCCATCAAAAAAGGAGGGATCTCACTATAAGACTCCTGTGTCTGGCTTTGAATACCGTGAAGATGTCATATCTTAAACTTGGCATTTAAGTACTATGTTTCCCATCCTAGGACTCAACCTGTTTTATTGTGATGGAGGGAGAAATCCACAACTGCAGGATAAGGAAACATATCTGGCAGAGTGCTTACAATAAATCCTATGCAAGCTGGGAATCACACTCCATCTTCAAGTGTAGATGTAGCCAAAAACGAGCCTTGTGAAGCACTTTGAAATTTTAAAATGTTTGAGTAAATCCGCAAGAAATGGGTGAGTGGGCAGAATACAGATGTGAAGGTTAAAGGTGTATGATAAATTGTGAAATAGATATTTTATTTACTATTTCGTATTTCTTTGTGATCCAGTGTGTGTATGTACATGCTCCAAAGCTTCCAAAGATGGAGGCCTCAAGTTAGGCTTCTAAAAATCCATATTTAGGTTTTTAAATCCATATTTTTGCCTTTAAATAAAACATGTTTTTAGGATCCTATCTTCAGGCACCCATTTTTGAAAATTTAGTCCATACATATTGTGGAGGCTCTGGTGACTGGATAGTTAGAGGTGAATTGACATTTGCACATACAAGCTGACTGGCATGTCTCTGTTTCACATATTAATTATTGAATTTAGTCTCCAAATTTGTCACAGAAATACTTCTAAAGAAAACTGAATTTTCCATGCAATAATTTAAAAATATGTCCTAACTTTTGCATAGGAAGCATTTAAAAATACTCCCACATTGAAATCTTATCCTTCCCACTCATGCACACCTTTCTTTGGGTTTTCTCTCTCTAACTAAGCAACCACAGTTCATTTAGAAACTCCAAACTGCACACACACTCCGATAACATCTCAGACCCAGGTTACTTTTAAAACTTTAGAACTAAACACAGAAAGAGTTATTATCCTAATTCAGCATAACCTAACTGAACTACAACAAGAAAAGACAAAGGGACCATTGGGACCCATCAGCTACACTGAGGGGAGCAGCTGTCTCTTCGACAAAGCTGCCAGCTACTGGAATCTAACAATTCAGAGGGAGATTTTCAAAAGCGCAAAGGTCAGTTAGGTGCTCAACTGCCATTGAAAGTGAATGGAAGTTGCCACAACTCCATTTGGCCCATCTGAAAATCCCATCCTTGGGATCTGATTCTGCCTTTCCTCCTGCTACCCTGTTCTGGCTCCTATTAGTAAGAGAGAAGGGGAGTTAAACAGCTCTGCTTTAGGCATCAGTGGTTCACCTGACAGAAGTCCCCATCTGATGGCTCTGAGTTTGTTTATTGTGCTGGAATTCCTGCCATAACTTTTCCAGTCATTTTAGTGACTTCCTATGTCTTTGAGTGGAGACAAGTTATTCTAAATTGTTGTTAAGAAATCTTGTGTTCAGAACTAGTCAGTAGATGTGGTGATATCACAGCATTTGTCAGTACTACTTCTACTCATTGGACCTCTGCAATACCAGTGCCCTTACAAGTATAGTTATACTACATCTGAATTGCCAGAAGGGTACTAACACATTTTATAGAACATAGAGAAATCCAGGACCCCTGCCCTGAGAATGTACTCTCTAAGACTCTCTTCCTGCAATCAGAGCTATAAGGGTGGACCCTTGTGTCTGTAGGGAATCCTACTGAAATCAATGAGATTGATCACATGTGAAAAAGAGTGTCATTATAGGGTTCACAAATATTTACACATGTACTTAACTTTGCTCATATCAGTAGACCCATTGCTGTCCACGGGATGTAGGTCAGCTGAGAAGCATTCAGCCCATAGAATCAAGGTGTAAATTGCCTTTGTTATGCAGAATGATGGAGCAGCAGTCCTGTTAATGTGAATGAAAGCTGTATGAATGTGCATGCATTGAACTGAAAAAGGACCCTAAAGAACCTCCCCACTAGTCTATAACCAGAAAACAAATGTATACAATGCAATGCTTCTGTGTAAAAATGTTAATTCATTTAAATGTTTCACATTAGTGATTTTCCCCAAGACGTTCCAGACCTATTACTTTAAATAAATTGGGACTCCTAGAATTCCCAGCAGTTATTATGCAGATTGGTCCCATAAGAACTTTCATGAACTTTACCGTCTCTGTGGACATTTTGCTCCTGTGCTCAGCCCAGATGTCACTCATCAATGGAAACAGTCTCTCAGAGGCACAGTAGTGTGTGAGAATGCCAGCAAAAACTAAGTGAGAAGTCTCAAATTTTAAGAGAGGATGTTATTTATTAAAAATGATTGAAAATCTTTACCATCTGTCATAGATTGATGCCTTTCTCTTTCAAGTCTCTCAGTGCCTGGAAAATAACATGCAGTTAGACAGAAGGGTATTTTTCAAATGTCAATTAATTAACAACTCACATTATCCATGTACTGTTATATTATAAACCCCTATACTTCATTTCAAGCCTCATCCTTCAAAGTGCTGAGCCCACTTTTGGTATGTCTACTCTGCAAAATTACACTTGCAGCAGCGAGTCTCAGAGTCCGGGTCAACTGACCCGGTCTTGTCCTACAGGACTAAAAATAGCAGTGTAAATGTTCCCGCTTGGTCATCTGCAAGCCATATCCCTCACTGGGTTTCACAGCCCAGACTCCAGCCCAAGTGAGAATATCAACACTACTATTTTTAGCCCCATAGCACAAGGCCCAGTCAATTGAGCCCCTGGCTCTGAGGTTCACTGTCATGACTGGCTTTTTTGCAGTGTAGATACACCTTAGCCACCATTGGCTATACAAGTTGTTGAAGATGCTCAGTACCTCATATGAAAACCTCAGCATCTTGTAGGGTTAAGCCATCTTTCTGTAAAGGGACTGATGGCCCCTTGCTGATACTTAATGGTGGTTTTTTTTTGGGGGGGGGGTGACCATCTCCCAATACCAAGAAAAAGGGGATGGGCCAAAGAGAAGTCAAGATCCTAAGACTGATAGTCCTCAGAGCCAATAGGGAGAGGCCAGCACTCCCAATCAGCTGGATTGACAAGGCAGACAGGCCAACGAGGGAGTCAATAGCCCAGGGACCATTCTCCATGAGAGCTAGGCTGCTAGGGGCAGAATAAACCAAGGACAGTGAAGCTACCAGAGCTGAGCTGGGGAGGGAACAGCAGGCCATAACCTGAGGGCCCAGAGCAGCAGCCCAGAGCTGGGGAGCCAGAACAGCAGAGATCAATTCAGAACAGCAGAGATTAACTGTGCCAGCGGTGAGCCAGGACCGATCTACAGTGGAAAGCTGCAAGGCCAGGGTTGGGACAGTGGAAGGCAGGTTGTGCTACAAGTAATACTGGAGATGAGCGTGGTGAGCGACTGGAGAGAGTGCGGTGGGGACCCTATGCAGAGAGGGGCCAGTGGAGGGAGACATCACCAGACAAGAGGGCCTTGAAGGCTGGAGTGGGTGGGAGGACATGGACCAGACAGGAGGGCCAATACTGTGGAGAAGTGTCCCACCATATAGATCCTGAAGGCATGTAGCCACCACTAGAGCAGGTGTCTTATACGCAGTATCACTGCAGCACAGCCAGGTCCTGGGTAGGAGGCCTGGGACGTGTAAGGAATAGACTGAATTTTCTTGAGTTGTAGAAACTATTGTTTACAGTGTTCCCATGCCCATCATGTGGGGTTCCTGGATACTTTCATCTTTTCAGTTTTTCCCTTATTCGTTTACAGTTGCTGATTAATTAATAGTATGTGGCTTAAACTCAATCACTGCAATCACTAGGTCAGGAAAGTGGCTGGTGAGGAGCAAGTACCTCGGGGCAGGGACACCCTAACCTCTGCCTTGAGTGACCCAGGGCGATATTGAGGGTTAAGCCCCCAAGGATCCTGGGCCCAGCCTTATCAGGGTTACAAGGACTCCATCGCATGGAGCAGAGGAAAAGGAGTCCTTGAGGTCAGACAGGCATCAGGTAGGGAGTTGGGGTGGGGATTCAGATCCTGTCACCATACGATTCCACCAGGGTAGGCAGAAAAATTCCCCACAATAGTGGGACCATCCCCCACTTACACTTCTTTAAAGTGTCAGACATCCCAAGAAATAACAGCAGTTATGGTGCTAAAGCTGGTCAAAATATTAAATTAACTAGGAACAATTCATTCCTGGGGTTTGGCCCCTTTCTCTAATCATATATGGTTTGTGAACTGCCCATGATTTTTACAAATCTGTCAGAATTGTTTGATGAGATCTTTTATTGAACATATTTGGGCATTTGGGTGTTTACATATTAACCTACAAGCAATAGGAGAAACCAAATATAGTGGGGAACACTTTAGGGAAAGACTTAGCAGGAGATAAGCAGGCCTATGCATTTTTAGTATTTATCTGTGTATAGTTTCTTATATAGCCCTCTTCTCCTCTCACTCACTGATGTACTGTTTATCCTCACAACACTCCTGTAAGGTAGGGAAGTCTGTTATCCCTATTTTACTGATGGATAACTGAGATACGGAGAGACAAAGGGGGCAATTTGATAAATGCTGAGCACTCTGGCCCCAGTCCAGCAAAGCCTCAGTCAATGGGACTAGATACATGATTAAAGTTAAACATGTGCTTAATTACTTATTTTTGAGGCCAAATGCTCCACAGCAGGTCCTGTGCTAGACCAATTGGCACCCCAGGCAAGAAGTGTCTTCAGCACCTCACCTCCATTTGCTAAACTTTTGAATACCTTATTTTTTATTACTTTTGTAGCCCATTTCATGACTGTGATGCATGATGTGCATGCATGACTTATTCCTATCATGTAAGATGATAAATTTACATACTGAGATCTGTAAATCTGTATTTATTCATGTCATATATAAGCAAATCCAAAAAATGTTTCCTCTAAGCCTATAGAAACTTTTTTAATTTTAAGTATAATTGAAATGTACTAACATCAAGAAATTGAATTGTGCACCAACATTGTGCGGACCAGTATTAAATAGTGTTACAATAGTGACAGCCTTAGAATGTTAACCCTAGTCCTTTAGTTAAAAAAGGTTGCTTTTCTCACCTTTGACCTCATGAACTGAAGTACATCATCAGAGAGATTCAATGACTGACCAATGGGATTTTCAAGTGATAAAATAGCAAACAATGTCAGTCTCTCATCAGCCATCATCGATCAAAGATATGTTTTAAAGAACTGAGCTTTGAAAAGCTGCGCTCACTACTCACAGCTGTGTCCAGCAGCATGAGCAGAATCCTCAAAGCTAACCACACATTAGGAAAAGTGTCCTTCAGCTCTGCATCATGAATGAATTGGAGAGCTTGGAGTGAAGAGTGCTTCCTATGTGGCAAAATGTGACAGATGTTGTTCAGTTTGACATAGAGGTTTTTATCATTTATGTCCAAACATTCCCGAGGTGTCAGCATACACTTGTTCAAGAGTGTTTTCCTGTCCACCAGCATCAGACTAAGGTCATACAAAAAGGCCTAAGTCTTTTTGTGGTACTTCATTTGTCCAAACCTTTCTTCGATGGACACTTGAGCAGTTTCAATGAGTGACCAAAAAAACTTCCTCTTGAATTTTTCTTCTGAACGTCCCATCACCTCATGTCTGTCCCCGTGACCAAAGTATCTCTTCTTCTGATGAATCTGTGTTTCTTTGAAGACACACTCAACTCCTCAGTTTTCCATCATTTTTTTGGCAGCAGTGATGCCATCTTCAAATCTGATGTCTCTGTAGGCCACAGCAAAATCAAGGCAGCATCTCATCAAAGTAGTAGCGGTTGTGATGTCCATCAACTGAGTTTGTAATGCCTTGCTTACAATATTTACTTAGAACACGATGAGACATGCCAAACCTGTGAAAAAAATGCAGAAATCGGGCTTGTTTTTGGCTTAATTGACTTGTGAGTTACTTGTTGGATAGTTTTTGGCTTGTTGCTTGTTGCTTCTTTTTTTTTTTTTTTTGATTGGCTCCCAGTAAGCAGGGATAAGGTGGGGAGAGAGTCAGGGGTGCTCACCACAGTCCAAGACTGCACGCCAGGGGGATCTAGTCACATAGAGTGTTGGGGTTCTTAGGGATTGGCTTGTTTTGGCCTTGTTTTGAAATGGGATTAGCTTGATTTTTGAATTATTGAGAACGTCGGGGTGCTTAGTTACCACGTGAAAGTTGGCAACTATGAACAGGATATCATGCCAAACTACAACTGAGACCAGAAATTGAAGTCAGTGATCTGGTTTGCCAGGATTTTCACTTCAAGTCAGATTCCGGCATTGGCTTTACTCGACTGTCCCAATAAGGACATTGCTGACAATGTTCTAGGATGTTCGAGGAAAATGTAGTTCTCAGAAAGGGAGAGGTTCCATGAGAGTCTACAAAGGTCCAGAACATTGTAGGAGGTTAGTGAAAAGTGAATCCATATATGGAATATATGAAACATTTTACTTCAAACATTCTATTTTACCTTTTGTCATTAACAATAATAACAGCACCCAGAACATGGCATCCCCCAAGCCCAACACCCCAGATGGTCTCCTGCCCCTAAATCTGGCCCGGCTCCACAGGATTGAGCATTAAGTTATTTGTTTAAGGACAAGTAGGAAGCCTGGGCAGAATTGGGAACAGGACTCCTATAAAAACACTCAAGAATGCCACTCTTTCTGACGCCACTTTGCTCCTGTGCACAGCCCATTTGCCACTCATCAGAGAAGGCATTTTCTCAGAGGCACAAACATTCTCCTGCATGCCCAAAGGTGTGCATTCATATGCAATAGCCATACTGACATGAATAAAAGCTCTTCCCAAAATATTTTTTGCACACAAAGACTGGCCACGTAAAATGAAAAAAAAAAAAAAAAGACTAAATTGAACTGTGAGTGGGATTTAGCAAACAAGCTTGCAAATACATTTCCCTGCTATTTGCAAGATATCACATTTCATTGCTTTCAAGAGCTCAGATGCTTTGTGTGCTCTCTGCTTAGTTAAGGTACAGTTTATATAATTCTCATATTAGAAAGCTTTTAAGTTTATTCCTGGTTTCAGAGTAGCAGCCGTGTTAGTCTGTATCCGCAAAAAGAAAAGGAGTACTTGTGGCACCTTAGAGACTAACAAATTTATTTGAGCATAAGCTTTCATGAGCTACAGCTCACTTCATCGGTTGCATTCCTGTTAGCATAGCATTCTTTCTATACAAGAGAAGCCTAAGTTTCTCAAAGATTCTTAGTTTCTGGTGTAATGAAGGAAGGGAGGGGATAGGCAGCTAAACAGACATATCTCTAAGGAAATTGCAAATTATTATAAGGAATTGTGCTTCTTATCAGAGGCATACATTTAATCCTATTATAGGAAATGCCATTGGGAGGGGGTGAGGCTTCTGGTTGGGGGTGCAGGCTTGGGGATGAGGCTGGGGATGAGTGGTTTGGGGTGGTGTTGCGGTTCAATGACAAGACAGCACAGAGCTTTAAGCAAGAAGCGAGCTGGTCTGCTAACGGGCTTCTTCCTGTCAGCTTTCCACCTTCCCCCTTTATTCTTTCTCTCCCCCTGCGCATTACATTCTCCAACAGATAAAAGGAATACACTGGCTTTGTTTAACATTCTTATTTACCAGTTTCTATCTACCGCATTCCTTGCTCTCGGGCCTTGAGCCCAGTCCTGGGAGGCTTCCCACGGTTCATGTCATCTGGGCAAGATTCCAAGGTTGATGCCCTTGAAAGGAGCTGTGTGTGCACAGGTCCTATACAACACTCTGGGTGTGCCCTGAATGTTGCCAAGCACATGAACCTTGTATGAATCCTACAGGGTGGGAGAGGTAGTGCTGGGCTAGGGGATGGAGCTGAGGGATTCAGCATGTGGGAGGGGGCTCTGGGCTGGGGCAGGCAGTTAGGCCGGGGGTTTGGGGCTCCAGCTGGGATTGCAGGCTTCTGGTGTGGGATCAGTGATGAGGGGTATGGGGTTCAGAAGGGGGCTCCAAGCTGGGGATGAGGGGTTTAGATTGTGGGAGGGGGCTCAGGGCTGGGGAAGGAGGTTCAGGATATGGGGAAGGTTCCAGGCAGCACTTACCTGAGATGGAAGTGGCAACATGTCTTCTGGCTCCTATGTGCAGTGGTGGCCAGGGAGGTTCTGTGTGAGGCCCATGCCCACAAACACTGCTCCCACAGCTCCCATTGGCCCCAGTTCCTGGCCAATGGGAGCTGCAGAGTTGGCACTCAGGGCGAGGCAGCACATGGAGCCTCCCTGGCCATTCCTGTGCCTAAGGGCCTCAGGGACATGTTGCTGCTTCCGGGAGCCGCATGGAGCCATAGCAGGCAGGGAGCCTGCCTTAGCTCCATTGCTCCGCCAACTGGACTTTTAATGGCCCGGTCAGCAGTGCTGACCAGAGCCGCCAGGGTGTCTTTTCAACTGGGTGTTCCGGCTGAAAAACAGATACCTGGCAACTCCAGGTAGGCTCCACCATTGTAATTTCTAAAAGCTGGATCATGGCTTGCCCTAACATGGCTGCACAAGGGTATAAAGAAGTATAACACTCCCACTTTCCCTTCTCTGCCTCCACATTAGGGCTCCCTGGACATTGGGTCTGGGTTTGGTGGAAGTATAGATGGAGAATTGGTTCTGTGAGCTTGGAAATTACACCGCCCCTCACCTCCCATCAAACAGCTTGGAAGAATTGGGGAAAGTCTTAGCTGTGCACATCCCAAAAGAGCAGCACCGGGAGCTGAGTTGGTATGAGGTGAAAACATACTACAACCAGTAAAGGACTGTAGTAATTTTCTATTTTAGGAGTGAGTGTGTGTTGCGGGTGGAGGAGAAAGTATGTGAGGAACTGTGACTGGAACAATTTATCTACATGCCGGTATCATACTCAGGTCATTGAGCAAAAACCTCATCTAGCCCTGATTAATTAAGCTGCACAATATCATTTTTCAGTAACCATTACAACCATTTGACAAAGAGATAAACTGAGGTACCAAGATTAAACTAGTCCATGGCAGAGCTGGGAATAGAATTTAGGAGTTCTAACTTTGTCATCTCCTTTAACCATTAGACAATACTCCTCTCTTCCCCCATTTTCCCTCTCATAGGATCATAAAATATCAGAGTTGGAAGGGACCTCAGGAGGTCATCTAGTCCAACCCCCTGCTCAAAGCAGGTACAATCCCCAATTCTTTTTGGCCCCAGATCCCTAAATGGCCCCCTCAAGGATTGAACTCACAACCCTGAGTTTAGCAGGCCAATGCTCAAACCACTGAGCTATCCCCTCCCCTCTCATTTATAAGATTGTGCAGACCTTGGTTTTCTTTATATTTATTGTCTTGGCATTATTGTGAGTATGATATTCACAACATTCTTTCAGCTCCTGTACAAGATCACTTTGTTCCCTCGTCTCTCACTATCTCTCTTGCTGAGAATTTTGTACATAATGTGCCAGCACATCATAATAGACTAATACTCTTATTAGCCCTGAAGCACTGTAGGACAATTATAACATTTTAAATGTTGTTATTGAACCAATTTCAGTTGGCCCTTGGGAATAGATAAACTAAGATCTTAAACAAACAAAATAACAACAACAAAAACAAGAAAAACCTACATTCTTTCTCCTCCAACCTAGCTTGTGATTTCCAAGTGTATGGCTGCAACCTAGCAGCGGCCAGTATGCAACCTAAACAAAATCACAAAATCAAAAATAACTGTGCTTAATTCTGGTTGACAAATACTTTCACACCTATTGGCAAACAGTCAGCTGCAGTTGAATAGAACAAAACAGCAACGTGCAAAGCTCAGCCAAAAGCCAATAACTGTTTGCCTTCTTTCCCCACTGAAGACACTAAGGGGCTGTGTCAAAAATATGTTTTCTATATAGTCAGATATATTTTTTTAGATGGCCAAAATACATATTTTTGCATTATTATTATTTCGTCTGTACTTTCTCATTAAGGAAAGGTATTTCACAGGCTGCCACTTCAGAGCACAATAATTTGGTGGTCAGAATGGAGATATTTAGAAGCCATGCATTATGTTTCTCTAAATTGTCCACAAAAGGAAATAAACTAGGGAAATTGGGGCAGCAAGCATCAGTGGTGGTATTTGTTCTTAGTATTATTTAATTTAATTAATTATTAATTTATTTAAATTAATTATTATTTAATTTGCAAGCACTTTGCAAACACCGAAAAACACACAATCTCTGCCCCAAAGAGTTTACAATCTCAAAATGATC